GAACTGTAACCGACTCTGACAGTTGTGTTGTCTGTATTGTTCACGCCTGATGAATTTTGATTTTTCAAGGCAAGCGGAGGAAGAAGACGAGGGGTGATCATTTTAAACAGAGGTTCCGCAAAAACTTCCAGACTCTTCTGGAGGAGGAGGTAACGCATCTGTCACTCACTAGTACTGCGTGCTGAGAAACATCCAGAGGGAAACTCTCGCACACTTTTCTTGGGTGAATGTCATGAAACGTTAAAAACAGCATGACGCATTTAGAAAAAACAATAACATAAAAAACATAATCCTTTAAGACCATTAAAATATTATTTTTGACAGTTAAGCACAATTCTCGTTACTGTTATTCTGAAAAGGCTGTGATTTAAAGTGTAAAGTACTCATACTCATAATAGGGCTGCACAATTAATCGAAATTAAATCGCAAAGGCAATAAATCGCGATTAGGCAGAAGCTGCGATTGTCATGCGTATATTTCAGTGAAGCTCAGTTCTGTGAGCAGTAGTAAATCTCCATCCGAAGGCCAGAGACCGCTCTCAGGCTGAAAATCCAAATATGCCCCGAAGAAGAAATTCAGGAAATGCCTATCACTGCAGCTGAATAAACAGAAGATTTAACTGCTTTCATTGATTCAACGTGACTAATAAACACACGACTACGGCAATATATGGTTTATCGGAGTTCTTATTATTATCATTTATCATAATAAAGTATATCTATAATGAAATGCTAATCGACATTGCCATTATCACTGCTTAGAATACAATTAAATATTGTGTGCCTTAATTATTCTGTTTAAGAAGCTACATCATCTCACAAAGGATATATTTCAAACACTGGACTGACGATATGAAGTGAGTTTGGAGTAAAAACATGTTATTAAATGTGGTATTTTCACGTGCTCTCAGATGGAGCAGCATTTACTACACAGAGCCTTAGTTCACTGAGAACATACGCAAAGCTGTCATTATTGCGAACGATTTCGTTGATTTCATAATCCTACGATTATATCGTCTGCTATTATGAACCCGATTTTGCATAGCTTGTCAGAGAAATACGGCTCTGTGTAGTAAATGCTGCTCCACCTGAAAGCAGGTGATGGAGATTTACTACTAATCACAGAACCGGCTTTACTGTCAAAATGTGCATGACAATCGCGATTAATTGTGCAGCCCTACTCATAATTAATGTTAATACTAGGGGTGCTCCGATTGATTGGCTACCGATCACTATCGGCCGATATTCACGTTGGGATGTTTGATCGGCGGTCTCTGATCTCAAAAAACCGATCTCAAGCTGACGAGGTTTGGCACGACATGCAGCGTCACCGTCTCAGTCTCTGTCCGGCGCGGGTGAAATAATGCTTAAGGTGAGGTACTCACCTTTATATCTCTTCATTAAATAACTTATAAAATAATTTGAAAACCTTGTGTGAGACCTAATTTCACAAACAGTGTGAGTGAATCACCACGCCGCTCTCTCTCTCTCGCTCTCTCAAAATAAGCAAATGGCTTCAAATCACCACACATGGCGTCTGTCTATAATGCAGAGTTCACACTGCACGATTTTCAAACTTGTCGGATTGCCGTTGTTTTCACACTGCGTGACTATCTGGGGTAGCATTCAGTTGCTGCTGTGTTCACACTGCATGATGGATCGGCGACAGAGGGTTTCACATTGCATGACTTCACAATAGGAATAAACGCCGACAGCTCTAGAGACCAAGATACAGGGCAGCGGGAAGTTCGGGGAGGAGTTATATGAAACGTAGTTTGCGGACCAGTGTTGCCAAATCCGCGATTGCCGCCGGTTGTTTTTTATGTCAGCAGTTTGAAGCGACCCCAATAAGGTGATATTTAGGCCCTGGAATGTGAATTGTACCAGGAGAACCCCGGCAAAAAAATGTGTATTTTACCCCCCGAACGCGATTGGGCTATTTTCAGGCTAGTTTTGAGTAGTAATTGGGCGGGTTTTGTAGCGAAAACCTGGCAACCCTGCACCAGACAGAGCTGTCGGCGATTCTTCCTATTGTAAAGTCATGCAGTGTGTAACCCCCTGTCGCCGATCCATCGTGCAATGTGAACACAGCAGCAACTGAATGCTACCCCAGATAGTCACGCAGTGTGAAAACAACAGTGATGCGACGTCTTTGAAAATCGTGCAGTGTGAACTCGGCATAAGCGAGTTAAGCAGTCATTTAATATGGACTTCTTGGGCTAATTGTAGCTAGTGTTCCAATAAACCATGTTAAAACTATTCTTCTAGTATTATGCATTTATTTTTCGTTTAATATAATTTCTGAACAGAACTTTGATTTTTCAAGCATAGTGAAATAATTTAGCCGCGGAGCGGTGTTTCTGATCAGTGGAGCTGGAAATGGTGAACTCGGAGCGGAGCTGGAGCGGAGTGATTATTGAATGCTTGGAGCGCGAAGGGGAAATTGTTGCCGCTCCACTCCGCTCACATACTCTGGTTGACACAGGAATCGTCACTTGCACAATCGAGGCAGTGTCACATCGTCACTAAAGTTTATAAATTGCATTACTTTTTCATGCCCACTGCAGCGCACACACATTAAGCCAGGTTCACATTACTCCGTTTGCAGTGCGTATTTCGACTATTTTTGTCAATGGTAAGTTTGTGATAACGTAAGAAAAGTAGTTTAAATGTTTTGCCACTTGCTTGAGAAACTTAATATATAAATCTAGAATTAAATGCAAAAGTAAAAAGCTTTGAATGATGTGTTGCTTATATTTATTGTTTAAACATGTCTGTGAAAGATTATATTATTGTACTGTGTAAAAAAATAATTGCAATGCTGAAAAAGCATTTTCAGTGACAATGTTTGGATTTGAAATCAAAATAATGGAATGATTATAATGTTGGAATAAATGTTGTGTTTGTGGTAAAAGCCACGGATCAGTAGCGGACTCCTGTGTGAAAGCACAGTCGGTGCTGCTTCCCCTCTCACAAGAGACACCCAAGAAGCGGAATTCCCCCCGTTTTCAAAAATGAAATTCAGGCCCTGAATAAATGTCTAAAAATCCTGATTGAAGTATCACTATAAATAGTTATAAATGATAAAAAAGAAGGCTTTAAAAAGATCGGTATCGGCAGATACTGCTTTCAGTGATCGGCGATCGGTGATAAGCACCCCTAGTTAATACAGTAATTGGTACTACTATTAAGAAACTTTAGTTAAAAAAAGTCCTCAAAAGTAAAATGTCTGTACACAATGTAAAATATTTGTTCTAAAAATAGGCTTAAACAACATATTTCTTCTCTTTTTGGAATCCTGGATATGTTTTTTGTACCTCTTACTCACTTTTTCTCTTTCAGGACTTGAGTGTTAGTGAGGGTCCAAACTATCTGACTGCATGTGCTGAGCCCTCAAAGTTTCCTCAGCGACATTTCTGCGCAGTGTGCGGCTTCCCTTCAAACTACACTTGTGTGTCATGTGGAGCTCGCTACTGCTGTGTCCGATGTTTAGGAACACACCACGAGACCAGGTAATGCACTCGCTCACACATGTGTGGGTGGAAGGCAACCCAATTCTTAAAAGAAATACCAGATAATAGCAAACACAATTTTTTGTTACCACACACTGACACCACAAGAAAAGGTGACTAATCAAACAATTCAGCTAAAAATGAAAATTCTGTCATTGTTTACATCATGTTGTTTCCAAACCTGTATGACTTTGTTTTCTGTGGAAAAGAAGATATTTTGAAGAATGTTTTCCAAGAAGAAAGTTATGCAGGTTTAGAACAATAGGAAGGTGAGTAAATGACAACAGAATTTTCATTATCCATTTAAAGGGATAGTTCACCCAAAAAAAAAAATTCTGTCATTAATTATTCACCCTCATGTCATTCCAAACTTGTGAGAGCTTCGTTCATCTGTGGCGTGCATCGTGGTACTCTCATGAATGCGTGTCAAAGACTGACACGGAAGAGAAGAAATTGTTGAATAAAGTCGTTAATTTTTTGTTTTTCTTCAGTTCATGCACAAAAAGTATTCTCGTAGCTTCATAAAATTACAGTTGAACCACTGATGTAACATGGAGCATTTTAACAATGCCTTGAACGTGTTCGTTGAGTTGTCTATGCTGGGTCAGAAAGCTCTCCGATTTCATCAAAAATATCTTAATTTGTGTTCCTAAGATGAACGAAGGTCTTATGGGTTTGGAACGACATGAGGGTGAATAATTAATGACAGAATTTTCATTTTTGGGTGAACTATCCCTTTAAAATCAAGATGGAACGCCTTTAAAATAGATCAAATACTTAGGTGGCATATGGTAAACTAATAGGGCTAGGGTAGATGAAATAAATTGTGTTCCTTGTCTTTTCAGGTGTCTAAAGTGGACGGTATGATTTGTTCCTCCCGACTGAACTCCTATCAAAATCAAAACAAGCTTATGGATCAAACTGCACACTTACAAGTTCACGTTCCTCAGAGATATCACAGTCATTTGCCTGCACAAACATGTTGAGGTATAAACCACTAGAAGCCTTAGATCTGACTGCTAAAATAATCTGTCATCTCTGCACCTTTTTATACAACAAATAGGCTGCACTACATTTGAAATTTCACGTAATAGGCTGAAGCATATAAAGCATTTGCCAAAAAATGAGGAGCTGTTCAAGTATTGTAATAAGAGTTAATTCTGTGGCAAGCTTTAGCTTGTTCTTAAAACATAGAGAATGCCAGTGGAAAAACTGCTATTTAAATGTTTTGGAGTAAATGACCACAATTGGTAGAAAGGAAGGACTCGAATCTTATGGTTTCAAAAGTTAAAACATTTTCTTTAAAAAGCAAAATGCCTATTCAGGGATTTCTTTATCAAAATTAAAGGAACCTGCAGCAGTTACAATGGTTTTTGTATATGAAGTTTTGTAATTTAACACAAAGTATTGCTTTTGTATGTAAATATGTATTCAATTGTTTCTCTTACTGTTATACAATTTTGTTGTCTGAAACAAATAAATGACTGGAAGTGGTAAAAATGTGCTTGTTTTATGATTTGTTTTGCAAGAAGAGAGGTATTTTCAAGACTTTGCACTTTAAAATGCCACTGATGAATTTAAGGTAAAAACATCATTATACGTGTATAAATCATCCATATTTCTTATATTAAAATACTTATTAGCTTAAAATTATATTTTTCATACTTTTGAAAAATACTCTTTATACATATTTTCATTATGAGCACTAACATGTTTTACATTTCCATCACTGATAAAGGTGATAAATCCTTTCTTTTTGGATGACTAAAGTTTTTTTGTGTGTTCATTATAGCACATATACAGCTCCATAGGAAGAGAGCATCATTCTGATTTAGATCCCAAACTGCATTCATTCATTTGGTTCACTTTGTGCTTTGAGCATCATTTCGGAGAATCAAAAATCTAAACCGTTCACATGAAAACAATACAGAAATAAGTATGTTTCTGTCCCACATCATAATTCCAGCAGCTGTTTCAATAACTTTGTGCTTTCCAACATTTCTATATGAAGCGCAGCTCGTGTGTGTCGGCCAGTTCACAGCTGGTTTTGTGTCTGTGGAAAAGTTCAGACAGAGCCTTCATGTATAAACTGTGGTAATGATCCACCTGTTCCTGCGATGGACTGTCAACCTGAGGCACAGTAATGGGACGGCCCACTGAAAGAGACAAAGGTACATTGCATTCATAGTACATACCAAAAAGTGATACTTCAATCTGAAGAACAGCTCAGCAGTTCTATTCGTGTCAGTAGCATACAGATGAAAAGGGTCTCTAGCAGCAACATCTTGATTCTTTACAAAAACAATAATCATTGTTAAAATGTGATGTGAAATGCAAGTGTTTTGAACTGACCCACAGTGGTGACAGGGCGTCTGTATGGCAGAAGCAGCCAGCGCCCCCCAGTGAAGAGACATGGAGCAAAACCCGTAATCTGCTTAAAAAGAGCCTGCAGCCGTCGACCAACGCTGCCCTCGGACAGAACCACCTGTGGGAACAGCTCGTTCTCACCAAAGGAGTACACAGGAACTAGGTCAGCCCTGAGTGAACAGCAACAAGACACAGGAGATGTAGTCAAACATGTTAAAATGAGAAAAGTTTTTCATAAGTTGGCAGTTGCTGCTTATAATATGTGTGCATGTTATTACATGGTAAAGCTGAAACAGAAACTGAGACACAGACAGGATATTATGTACTTTTTAGCATTTTGAGTTAGATTATTTTTATTTATAAATAATAATAATAAGAATGTGAATATGTATATTCATTGTATTAATATTAGTATAGTAATTTGAATAATTTTAGTCATCCGGTGGCCCCCTTGGAAGTTTGCTGAGGCCCCATAGTGGGTCCCGATCCCTGGTTGAGAACCACTGGTTTAAACTAGAGGTTTATTTCAGTCAATCTTCTTGTCTTGTTCTCGTCTTTTTCTTACCCATGTTCAAGGGCCAGTCGTACAAAACCCTTCCTGTGTTTCATGACTAAAGTGTTTACTCCTGGAGTCGAGGTAAGTGATTCCTCTGCCCCACCAATGATGATGACTACAGCATTACCCACACCAGTACAGCTCAGCAAGTGATCTAAACTCTCCTTACTCACAGGCAACAGACCTGAGAATGAGAAATAGATGGAGAAACACTTCATCCTTTTCAATGTCGTCTTCTCTCTCATTGAGTCTCAATTTAACTTTCGTTTCTGACCTGCAGACAAAATATACTCTCTGAAGAGAGGAAGGCGGAAAAGTCCAGCCAGAATTGCAAGCGTGGGGCGTATTCCAGGAAAGGTTTCCGCAAATCCATTACAGTCTGTGCTGAAACACGAGAAGGCTCCCACACACATGATGCCATGGGGGTGACAACCCATGATATAGTTCTTACTGGGATTCAATTCAGTAGTCTTTACTAGCTGAAGGAATAGAAAGTCAAAGAAGGATAGAGAGAACAAAGGGGTGGGATACACAAAAAATTCAAGAGCTAAAGTCAAAGAACAACTGATGTGTTACGTCAGTTACTGGGTATAATGTTTACCTTCACAGGAAAATAGTCTCTGTAGTGTTTCCATACTTCCCAGCTTCTCACAAATTTTGTTCGTCTGCCACCTAGTGGACACAGAAAATATTAACATTTTGACAATATTTTTAATTCTATCAGACAGTGAAAGCTGTTTTAAGAATTAGGCTAAATGGAATTATCTGATCTTAGTTTAACCTGTGAATTTAGATGGATAGTTCACCCAAAAATTCTCATTTGACTGATCATTTTGACTCAACTGATCATTTTCTCACCCTCATGTCTTTCTAAACCTGTATGACTATAGTTTTCTTCTGTGGAACAGAAGAGATATTTGGAAGAATGTTGGTAACCAAACAGTTTAACTGACTATTGAAAAAAAAAAACAACACAGAGACATATCTCAGAATGCCTTACCCAAACCGGAAAAGTAAGTCATACAGGTTTGTAATGACACGAGTGAGTAAATGATTACATTATTTTCATTTTTATGGGTACTATCCATTTAACCATCTACACGTGTTTGTGTGTACTGTTAAGAATAAAAATGTGTGTTCTAATGATGAGTTGACCTCTTTCGGGTGTGTGCCAATCATAGATCTGCCATGAGAAGTAGAGTGTGGGAATGAGCCACAGAGAGGTGAACATCAAATAGATCATCAACAGCAGACAGGCCGTTCCTGCAAACACACACATTCAGAATGAGTTGTGATGTTACAGTGTCAATCTGACACACAATGGGAAGCATCATGGAAATTTCTATTCAGCACCCAAAAGTAATTTTTTCTGTGTGTGTGTGCAACAGGTCTCACCTAAAAACAGAAATGAAAACACCCATTGTAAAACACTTATATCCTCGATTAACTCCTTCCACTGAGACTTGTCCTCCTTCCCCTTTAATTCTGAAACTGAAAAAGAGAGGATAAAACTGAGAAGACGAAACAGATTAAGGTTGGTCACACATTCTTCTCATTTTTCTTGTAACTGCTGATCGCACGTAACCCCAGATGAACTGTTATTTGAGCAGGCCATCTAATTCGCTAAAATTACAGAAGCGAGTGTTAAAAAAAGATTTTGTCAAATGTCACATTTTAATATAATTGGAGATTTTGAGACAAATATTTTCAACCAGGCACAAGTATTCGAACCAATGACCTGAACCTGTGCAGACATCAGTTGTCAGATTCACTCACTGTAAATCTGTGTCATACAATGTGAAATATCTTTATTGGGCAATCTGGTTTTCACCGTTCAGCAGGCAGCAGGATCAGAAATTAACCAGGGCTCAGCACAAAAAGGCCACAGAAAGTCACTAAAATGCCCAATATATCTAAAATGTGGGGCCACAAAAATGGCCTGTAGTGAATATCTGTTTATTATCTGTTACCTAACAATCAATATGTTATATTCTGTTACAGTCCTTATGTAGTTTTGGGTTTATTGTCTCTGTAGATGCTAGCAACCTAGCTGTCTGATAACTGTAATTACTGTGAGTGATTTTGATAGCACATATGTGTAGCTAATATAAGAAGTTTTCTTTAATGAACACTGAACTTCTATAATGGATGTGAGTTTTCAGAACGATTAGCTTTGTAAAAATCGACGCGTTTCAGAAAGGCTGGGGCATAGAGGAGAAACAATAATGTACAGTATGTGGAAAATAATGTGTTTTTTTAACCTTAAACCGCATAAACACAATTCATTACACCAAATACACAAAATAATGTTCTTTTTAGCAACATCATATGACCCCTTTAAAACCATGATTACATAGACAGTAGTGAGCTGTATAATATGTATGATATGAGCTGTATGATAAGATTTTCATCTGTAATGTTGTGTCTTTTGAATAATTTGAGGGGGAAAAGTCCCCAATATTACAAAGATTAAAAATATTGCCACTTAATAATGTTTTTTTCTGACAGCAGTAGGTATAAGTGCAACTTCAGCAGTGAGCCTAGACCTACTTCTGTGACCTGTTGCACCTGGGATGTGTTCATGAACTTGAAGCAGACCCCATCCTAAACATTTTAAAAGGTTTGTTTTATTTGGAAAAACAATGTGTTTGTGTATCAATGTGGTGCCATGTTGTTCCTCAATCAGAAAATCACCTTAGATTCAAGATGCAGACTTTGGGCGTAGCCTACATAAACAGTAGATATGGTAACATACACAGTGGAAAAAAATTAGATTTAAAGAAGAATTTAAGTTTACTGTAAATGATCATAAATGTGTATTATATTCATTATTCTTATTACTTGCTTATAATTACTGTGAAAATCAGTAAAAAGTGGTAATGTGATCTTCCAGCAATTCAAATCCACAGTTGCATTTATTTTTTTAAATTGCGAAATATGTGCACTACGTCAGCATACTTACAACGTTTAGTGTTAGGACAGACCAATACAACAATTTTATTTAAACATTTAGGCCTACTGTTTAACCAGATTTACGGTGTTGTTACAGATATAAACTTTAAAACTTTTCGGTTAAAGCTAAATTTGAAATAATTTTCAAATGTGTAATAGGCTATCATTCTCCAGTCAAATCCTGTACCGTACTGAGAGATTCGTGAGAGCCTACCGTTACCTGTTTCCATTAAGTGGCCAATTTTAGTGATTCCTGTAGCGAACGATTCCTCTTCCTCACCTTCCCTTCCCTGACAGAAGCCTCTCGTTTCTTGTTTGCACTTTGATCGGTTGAATCGGTCAAACAGATAACGATTCGTTCTCTAATCGCGTCATTGTAAATGTATGCGGGCACTTTCAGGACTGGCTAGCTGGTGTTTATCTCCAACCACTTACGAATCCGCGTTCGCATGACTGACAGCCGTTTAAGTCACCCTTTTCTTTAACATGAATCGTTCGTAAACAACAAACAAATCTTCGAGTCTTTGTTGCCACGCCTAGGCAACGAAAACGCCACAAACGCCTACTCTTATGTCAGAATAAGACACAGGATCGTGAGATATCGTTTAAATACCCCTGCTGTACGGAACGGCAGCGGCGCGGTTTGGTTGAATGAACGCTCCTCGCGCGCGTGCGGACATCTGTAGGAGGGTGGAGCGAATGTGCGCGCGCGCACAACCGCTGCATTTAAAAAATGTTGCCTAGTGCTTGCCACTTATTGCTTCATGATGTTCTCAGGAAATATGTCGCTCTTTTGTAACAAGTCAACCCTGTTTTTCTATTCAAAAGATGAACCTTAGAGTTTGATGTACAATATTTTGTTATAAATAAGTCTAACCAACATCCAATATTCAATTTTGCATATCAATGATTGGCATAGCCTATATTAGTCGTCACCTTTATTTATATAGCGCTTTATACAATACAGATTGTGTCAAAGCAGCTTTACAGTGCTAAACAAGAAAAACGTGTGCCAACAATGCAAGAGGACAATAGAAAACAGTCAGTTTTTCAGTTAAAGTCAGTTCATTGCTGATTCAGTGATGACATCATCTAGCTCAGTTCAGTTCTCTTTAAATAGCGTCTATGCAATCAAGTCAACAATGTTGCCAGAAATTGTGTCCCCAACTAAGCAAGTCAAAGGTGACATTGGCAAGGAACCAAAACTCCATCTGTGATATTATGTAGGCTACGTAATAAACGAAAGAGATTTTTGTCCAGTGTAAAATCATGTTGCAGTTTTATTCAGGGGTGAAAAACGACACGTAAATTATAAATTATACTCAAGTTAAATATGAGAACTCATTTAATTGTGAAAGACAGGGTTTTTCTTGGTCTTAGAAATGGATTAAGAGACAAATAATCTTAATTGAAAATTGTAAAACAAACCTTTTTAATCTCAATTGTATCAGTGTACCTGCTGTGATAGAAACATGTATCAGCCCTGTCTCTGCAATTCTACTATGCAAATATGTGCTTCACATGATACCAAAGGTCACGGCAGGAATGAAACAGGAAATATCTATTCACAAAGCACTTAAAATAACGATTATAATAAAATAATCAATTCTTCTATAGTTAATGTTTCTCCTTTTATTTGGAGAACTGGCAATCTGCATTATGACATCGTTTTTCTTGTGGTTGCATAGTGATCAGTCACATATGGCTGCAGCTGATTGTGTCCATCCAAAAGTTACCCATGAAGCAAAGATTTGAAGCACTTTTGAGCCGAGAAACTAGCATTGTGATGAAATGTTCACCAGGTATTTTAGACCTCAATTGGTTTTATCCCGTCACATTCATGTCACAATTATGAATCAACATACAAAACTGCCAAATGTTCTTTATATTATAAATATATGATTACAACATAATCATTTCTTTAATGTGTTCATTGTCTCTATACATAACTAACTGCATGATTTGTAGCTCAGAACTTTAATTTGACAGTCACCTCTGATAACAGATCACTCTATATTTGTTAAAAAAAAGCATTTTCTGTAAAGCTGCTTTAAAACAAATTTGTGAAAAGCGCTATACAAATAAAATAAAAATGTGACTCATGAGAATGCAATGGACTAAACAAGTTAAGAAGCTGTTCAGCTAAAATTTCATAATGTCATCTTATTTTAGAAATGTAGAAGTTGTGTTAATTTGTTCAAACTAGTACATGGGTTATCTCTTTGATTTGACTTAACCCTGGTTGATGTCCATCAGAGTTTGGCAAAGTATATTTAGCCCTGGATTAACAATATAGATTATAGGATATTGATAGCCTTAATTTTAGGCTTTGCATTAAACTCATGTCTTGATAATGAATCGTTCCGTTTTGTGCATACCAGTTCAACTGATTGTGTGAAAAGAACTGGATCGAAAGAATTTGTTCACTAGTCAATGCTATAAGAGTTGCCTTTTAATGAAAATTATACATAAATTCTTATTTAAAGTGAAAGAATTGAGGAACCCATTTCATATATACCCATACAGAAATATCTCCAACCACATGAATAATTTGTATATGTTTATATACATTTACATTTACGTTCAGTCATTTAGCAGATGTTTTATCCAAAGCGACTTACAAATGAGGACAGAAGCAATCAAAACCAACAAAAGAGCAATAAAATGCAAGTGCTATGACAAGTCTCTGTTAGCCCAACACAGTACACGTAAGGTTTTATATATATATACAGTGTTGGGCAAGTTACTTCCAAAATGTAATACATTGTATATTACTAGTTACTGTCTTTTGAAAGTAATTAGTTACATTACAATATTACTGTCTCTGAATTGTAATGCGTTACACTACTTTTGAGTTACTTTTCAGTTACTTTCACCAAAATATCCACAGAAGTATTATAAAATGCCAAAATGTAGTTTATTGCTGTTCATACTACATTCAGTGGAGTGTAATGTGGTAGGTCTATATAGCATAAAATTATAAAATCATATTTAGATACCGGTATAGGTCTAAATTAATGTTACGTTTAAACGCCTAGTATATATATATATATATATATATATACACACACACACACACACACACACACACACATACAAAGAAAACAAGTAGATAGAATAGAAAAAGAATAGAAAAAGCTAGTGTTAGAGTTTTTTTAAGAAAAACAAGCAGTTGGAAAACTAATAGAGAGTGCAAGTGATAGAGGGTCAGGTGTTTTTAAAAAAAAAGAAAACAAATAGATCACATAGGATTAGAATAGAGAGTGCTAGAGTTAGAGGGTCAAATAAAGAAGGAAGAGATGTGTTTTAGCCGTTTCTTGAAAATGGCTAAGGGCTCAGCTGCTCGGATTGAGTTTGGCAGGCCATTCCACCAGGAGGGAACAGTTAATGAAAAAGTCTGTGAAAGTGATTTTGTGCCTCTTTATATAAGTTTACAAGTGTAGTTAGTGCATTGTCTTGTGTCTGTATTATTATTATCCTTGTCCATCTTATCATATTCATGTATTCACATAGACAAAAGATACAGTATATACATTTTCATGATTTACATATGAATCTGGACCTGTGATTTCACAACCCAACATCTCTTTATTCAATGAGCTGCAGGGCCTCACCAGATTAGGACCGACCAAATTTCTATGCTGTTTGAACTCAGTCATAGATTACGAGAAACAGGCTGGATTAGCTAAATGCCTATGGTGTTCACATAGATTTACTCATTACTCAGCTGATGCTGAGAGGCAACATATTCTATTTTAAGTATACCAAGTTCTTCTTTTGTGCAAAGGCAAAGTGTGATTCATTACTGATCAATGGTTATATTCTAGCTTCCTGACTATTTCTGTGATGCAATCTCATGCCGTATGCGCATGAGCTACTCCAATTAAATGTGTGATGACACAATGGCTCTCTGCCATCCTGAAGTGTGAGTACTGTTATTTTTATCCTTTGTTTTCCATGTCTTCAAGTCTCACTTCTCACATTTCTCCCTCATTTCTCGTCTCTTGCTCACATCACAACATTTTCTCACTCCAGGCATGGATAGCACATGCAGGAGATCATGTACATCTAATAATAAAGCGATGGTTTGTGGGGATTGAGTGAGAGCAAGAAGGGAAAATGCCTAGGTTTAGGGAAAAATAGGAATGTCATTAATAATAAGTGGTTCTTGATGTTGTTAGATGGTCTGTGAAATGTTTAGGTGATTGGATGAGCGTTGTAATGTACCTCTTCAGGTGAATAGGTGATTGTCACGACTGACAGTAAGTAGGTGGTTATGCCTAGATGTTAAAATCATATAGGCTAAACACAAGTGTGTAAGTGAAAAGAGAGATTAGCATGAGAAAAATAATGCGGAATGGAATTTCCAGTGTCTCAATGTAATTGGTGGAGCATTAGGGTTGGTTGGCGCGCTTGCTGACAGACTGCTTACGTCTGCACAGAGCGAACGCGGACAAAAATGGTAAATACGTGCGTCGAATCAGCTGTCAGAAAGGTCAGGCATAAAAATGTAAACGGAAAAACGGCATAACAACAGTCGGTGGAATTTATATTTAGTATGGCGAGGGCAGAAAATGTCTCCCTTCACAAAAACAGCAGCACGATACAACGTTTCAGGAGAGCGAGGCGCGCATCAGAACGGAATCAGTAGCTCGCCATCTGCTTCTCCGTTGACCGACGAGCTCTGAAGCAAGAATATTAATATTAATATCAGCGCGAAGTGCGCCGCCACCGCCGACGTGTTTATCTGCGGGCTCTGCATTCATTACCGTGAAGTCGTCTCCCGGTTAGCGTGCAGGCACTAACAGACTGCATTTGTGAATGGTTCCATGGGCCTGCTTTGAACGGATGTTTTTTTTCCTTCCCTAAAGTCGCAGTGAACTGCACCATGGATAGCGAAGCGCTTTCTCATCGTGCTCCGCGCTGTGGGTAAATGGGGATGAGGATGTTGTTTACAAAAAGCAGCCAGCCGTCAGCGCACTGATGCTCGGTCTCCTCGCATAGAATTTTACATCTAATCTTTTATGACACGGTTGGAAATTACTGTCATCTCCGTCTTTCCTCTATGAAGAGGGCAATGTCATCGCCAGCAGACCGGCGTGGATTTGTTGTTGTCTGATTTTACTACTTGTCCTCTGCAATTCGACTTCACACCGTTTATGTAAGTCAAGCTATTCTGCACCATTTGTTTTCAGTACACTAAAGACGGATGTATTTAAATCATACAAATTGTGACGAAATTCGACCTCAATTGGTATTGACTTGTGTGTGGAAATATAATTACAAACATCTGGGAAAGGCTAGCAATACGATCTCCCACAGAGGAATTGACCAAGCGCTATTGCCGTGTTTATGTCAATATGAATCTTTTTTCATTGACAACCCAATGCACGTGTTGTATATTTTAAGACCAGGGTTTGCCCTTAAAACAGTTGTCTTGTAAAACCAGTCGTTTATTTTGTTTTAGCTATAGCGACTGTTTATAATTTTTAAAATGGAAAATATGGCTCGAATGATCGTGCTTTCACCGTCGATATTTTCTCCACAAAACCTGACCGAGTTCCTAAACAATGTAAAAGAGTAAAGGCAGCGGGTTTGTGATCGTTTGAGCGTATATAAGTGACGCGTCTTAAGGAGCGTCTTCAGGTGCACGAGTTTTAGAGTTCGCTACGA